GAGGAAGGCTGTTTATCTGACAAGTTTATATTCATGCTCAGATGCCAAGGAACTCAAAAAGTAAGCCACTGTGACCAGTAATAGTCATATATATAGAGATTAGAAATGCATGTGAAAATGTCTCAATGTCAATTGCCTTAAAATGTATTTTTCTGTATGAAACTGTGTATTTTAACAACGAAGTGGAGATCTTTTTTAAAGTGGAGATCTTTTTTAAACGTTGGAACCTCATTTTATTTTATGTCTTATAGAGTTCATAATGAGTAAAAGATTGTATAAGCGTAATAATTCATCTGTAAACGTAAAAATGTACAGCCAATTTTGAAAGAGATGTACCCTAGCTCAGAAAAATGTTATTGAATAGGTTAATGCTGTTGTAATGAAATGCTTCTTCTAATTAAAAAAAAAAAATTTGTCCTCATGTAACAGCTGGGTAAGTGCCTGGGTGAGCTCACCTAAGCAGTCACATGTCACCGCTGGCAGACCACTATTTAGGGAGACCAGAAAGAAGGGCAAGGGCACAGGTAGAAATAGGGCACAAGTGGGAACAGGGTTCAGAAGTACCAAACTTCAGAAACTGGGATACAAAAGTCTGAAAAGAAATCTGAAAAGTTGTGAGGCAGGCAACTCCAGGAGCATCAGCACCCCAGAAAGACTGAGCAGTGTTCCAGGGAAGAAGGGGAAGTCAACAGTGCAGAGGACTGAGTAATAGAGACACCTAAGACAGACTTACAGATATAGTAATACAGAGCTGTTCTGGGAGCTTTGACCAAGCTGGTCAGGTGATGGCAGTTCACCAAACTAAGGAAGGGATGGCAGGGAGCAGGACCCTTCCCATGGAGGATGTGCAGAGAAGGGTGGTAGTTGCAGAGAAAATGGTGGCCAAGGAAAGTGTGATGGCAACATGTACTACAGGCTGACTGAAAGGCACCAACAGAGATAGGGAAATGGATGGCCAAGGATAACAGATGGGGCCAGGAAGCATCCCTGAGAAAGCAGAATAGATGGGCCTAGATTCCAAGCAAATGAAACCCAAACCCAGCAGACAAGAAGAAATAATAAAAATTAGAGCAAAAATTAATGAAATAGAAACAAAGAAAACAATACAAAGAATCAACAAATCCAAGAGCTGGTTCTTTGAAAAGATAAACAAGAGGGACAGACTGCTATCCCAGTTAATAAAAAGAGAGAAAGAGAACCTCCAAATCAACAAAATCAGAGATGAAAGGTGAAACATCACAACAGACACCAAAATGATCCAGAACATTATAAGGGAATACTTTAAAAACCTAAAAGAAATGGACGGGTATCTAAAAGCATGGGAACCATCAAAACTAAACCAAGAAGAGATCAACAGCTTAAACAGACCCATAAGACATAAGGAAATTGGAACAGTAATACAAAACGTCCTGGCTAAAAAAAAGCCCAGGACCAGATGGATTTACAGTAGAATTCTACCAGACATTTAAAGAAGATATATGTCTACTACTACTTAATTTATTCAAAAAGATAGAAATGGAGGAAGAACTTCCAAATTCCTTCTATGAAGCCAGCATCACTCTAATACCAAAGCCAGATAAAGATATGAGAAAAGAAAACTATAGACCCGTATCTTTAATGAACATAGATGAAAAAATTCTCAACAAAATATCTGCAAACTGCATACAGACACACATCAAAAAGGTCATCCACCATGATCAAGTCAACTTTATTCCAGAGATGCAGGGACGGTTCAATATATGTAAGTCAATAAACGTCATAAATCATATAAACGTCATAAATCATATAAATGGACTCAAAGATAAGAACCACATGGTTATCTCAATAGATGCAGAGAAGGCCTTTGACAAACTCCTATCTTTTACCTTGCACAAAAGTTAACTCCAAATGGATCAAAGACCTCAAGGTAAAGTCTGAAACTCTGAAACTGTTGGGAAAACATTGGGAAAAAAACTACAAGAAATAGGTGTGGGAAAGGATTTTCTGAACCGGACATCAATTGCTCAGGAAACAAGGTCAAGAATCAACAAATGGGACCTCATTAAACTAAAAAGCTTCTGTACATCAAAAGAAGCACCCAAGGAAGTGAAAAGAAAACCCAGAGTAGGAGAAAATCTTCACCAGCATCGCAACTGACAGAAGTTTAATACCCAGAATATATAACAAACTCAAAAATCAAAGAATCAAGAAAGGAAGTAACCCAATTAAGAGATGGACTAAGGAGCTGAACAGAGAGTTCTCAAAAGAAGAAATAAAGATGACTAAGAAGCATCTTAAAAGATGTTGAACATCATGAGTAATTAGGGAAATGCAAATTAGAACCACTTTAAAATTTTACCTTTCCCCAGTCAGACTGGCTAAGATCAAGGGAACAAATGATACCAAATGCTGGTGAGGATGTGAAGAAAGGGGAATGCTCATTCACTGCTGGTGGGATGGCAAACTCACGCAGCCTCTATGGAAAACAGTGTGGAGAAAAAAACTACAAATGAACCTACCATTTGACCCAGTGATACCACTCCTTGGCATATACCGAAAGAACTCATCCTATTGCAGAGACACTTGTACATCCATGTTTGTTGCTGCTCTTTTTACAAGAGCTAAGAGATGGAAGCAACCTAAGTGTCCCTCAACTGACGAGTGGATAATGAAAATGTGGTTCATTTATACGATGGAGCTTTACCCAGCAGTAAGGAAAGATAAAATGATGAAATTTGCAGGTAAATAGATGGAACTAGAAACTCATACTGAATGAAGTAACCCAGACACAGACACAGAAAAAAAAAAAAAAGTATGTTCTCCCTCATATGTGGATGTGGATCCTAGCACCAAATCCTTTAAGTGAGTATGTATCCAGACATAACTACAGGAACCAGGAAAATGAAAAGGAACGAGGAAGATAAAGGAAAAGAAGAACAGTGGGAAACAGGTGTTACTAAGGGAGATATGAATAAAAATGGGGTTATTTTAAGGTGGGGGAGGGATGGTTATACAAAGAACCTTGGGGTAAAGGGAAAGAAGGAGTTCAAGAGGACCATAAGAGAAGGGTATTAAGAGAGAAATGGGAAAAACAGGGGCACTTTGAATGGGGAAAACATGGTGGAAGGGTTAGACAATATAAGAGATAAACAATGCCTAGGTAGTTTTAGAAAAACAGAGGGAAACATATTAGGCCGACAACCAACTGACAAACTATACATACAACCAGATCAAAGAATGTTATATGCTTAGGCATGGTTTATCTAAGAGCATTTGGTCTTTGCCCAAGCTTTATCTACACAGTACATGATAATGAAAAGTACCAGACTGGTGGAACTAACCTTCTTACATGTCTAATAGCCATACTTTGAGGCCTATACTAATTTGGTCAGAGAAGCATAAAAGACAGTTTTTGCTCCTTGCCCTCCTAGGTCAACTAAGCTTCAGGGGACTATGAGCATCTCTCAAAATGTCCTGTAACTATGTTGTGTCACCTGTCCTCTTGAGCAGGGAGGACATGGACTTGAACCCCACCAAATGGACTTGAACCAGTGTCCACTTTACAAAGAGGAGGGTCAACACAGAGGAAATATTTCCTCCATGCTTCCAAGTGAAGCTAGACATGGTCGAGTAGGACCTTTGACTTATCTTCACATAGATGGAACTGGTAAAAGGAGCCAGGAGCTCCTCCCAAG